TTTTAAATGCTAAGAAATGATGTTTAAGAAATGATTTCTTAAATACAAAGAAATCTTCTTAAATGTTAAGAAATTCTTCTATCAGTGTGGATTTCGCTCATCTTCGAACTCATTCAAGGTTATTATCCAAAGAATATATATATATATACATATATAAATTTTTTAACTAACGTTATTTTTGAGCTTTACTCGACTAGTTAAGTGATATTACAACAAAATTCCGAGAAAATTCCGACATGAGGACCAATGCAAAAGATTGATTTCTATGAAATCTACCTAAAAATTATGAGGCATTTTATAGCGACTAGTGGGACATTTGACTCTGAAATTCTATCAATTATAAGCTATAATTATGTGACTGAAATTTATACTATAGTAAAATTTATGTTATAATATAGAAGAATAACTAATTATCAACATCCCTTTGTCAAAAACCTTAATTACTTTTTAAGTTTCTCGTAATTACCATTTGACTGAGTGTGACTGGTGGGATTAAGAAAAATCCTTCTCTCTTACCGCGGTATACTAAAAGTCCAATTTCAGTTCGACCACTAAGCTTTTAAAAAATACTTCCTTCTCAATACAAAATTTATTCTACAAACATTGAATATTATAAAGAATTAGACTGATTACCTACGTAGAAACAATTAAAAAAAATTTGTTTTTATTGTGACTGATGGGACAGGCATTTGTGACTGGTGGGACAAGTACAAAATGTCTGCATCAAGTTGTTTATTAAAAAGACTTTTATATTATTTCAACCTTAGAAACATTATTGTTTATATATTTAACTATAAATTATTTAGGATAATTAAAAAAAAACTAATTAAAAAACACAAATAAAGGATTTAGCATGCTGACAACACGATCTTGATAAACTTAGGTGTTAATTAATAACGAACATAAACAAAATTTGTTCTTAAAACTATAATAATAAATATGTTAGTTAATAACAAACATAAAATGAATTTGTTCTTAAAACCATTAAAACAACATTTGACCCGGATACCAGTTAGTACGACTGAAAAGTTACTAGGAGAGAAAAATCGATTTTCTTATTGATTAAAAATATTTTTTTTACAAATTAGTAAAATATAGATTTTTAATAATAAAATAGGATTAAATTATAATGAATTAGAGAAATTTTTTAATTTTAGTCATTTTCCCATTTCGCATAGAATGCCCCATTTGTAATTTTTTAAAGCTTCTAAAGTTGAAATTTTTTAAATATATTTTTCTTGCTATAATATATTTGTTAAAAAAATTTTTTAAATTATCAGATGTCTCTAAATTTCAGTACCATTAATTTTTTTTTTTTTTTTTCATACGAAAAAGTTAATGAAGATTTTAAGATTTTTTTTTTATTAATTTTTTAAATTAACAGAGAAAATTAGTGCTGGAATGTTGAAAAAGAAGAATCATTAAAACAATAGAAAAATGTTCATAATTGCTAAAATATTGATTTTATGACAAAATCATAAGAGCACAATATTGTAGCTTAGAAAATTTCCTATAACAAATGTTTTTGTACTATAGGTCTATCTTCAATATTTTAGGAGATATAATTGCAAAAGTTGTAATTTAATAATTAATGGTGAAAATTATGATTTAGGCACTATAAAAATGGCTAAAACTCCTTAAAAAATGATTTTAGGAAAAAATCATGAGACTTAAATTGTAGCTTAGAAAATTTCTTATTAAAAATGTTTTTATACTATAGGTCTATCTTTAATATTTTAAGAAATACTATGGAATTTTCAATTTTGTTTTCAATGGAATACTTAAAACCCAAAATTTATAATTTTTTTTTTCAATGATAAATTATTGAATTTTTATTTTAAAAAATTATTTTTAAAATTTTAACAAAATGAACTTAATAAATTATTATTTACAGGTTGTATTGTGGGATAAAATAGTTCTCCGTGGTGACAACGCAGTCCTCGATTTCAAAAATGTTAACACCAAATATTATTTCTGGGATGACGGTAATGGTCTCAAGTACGTATCAACAAATTATACAAAATATCAGACAATTTTAAAAATTTTTTAAAAATAAATAAATTAATAATTGGTTTGTTCTAGGGGAAACAAAAATGTGACATTAACGTTGTCGTGGAACATAATACCGAATGCTGGATTATTACCTAGCGTAAATGCATTTGGGTCTCATACATTTGCATTCCCACCAGAATATACAACTAATAAACTTTAAATAAATAATTCGTACATTATTGCATAATTAATATTAATTAATTATATTATTAAATACTTATGCATTTAAATTCTGTCTGTACATTTTTATCAATAAAATTTTTAAAGATAATTATTTTAGTTTTAGTAGTTTAGAAATTAAAATGGAGATGGACACAAAAATTTATAAATAAAAAATCAAAATTTAAATTTTTCATTTAAAAATTCAACTGATTTAATAATTATAAAAATTAATTTTTGTATCTTATAAAAATTTTAATGAAGATAGACACAAAAATTTTTAAAGTAAAAAATTTTTAACTAAAATTTATTAAATAAATATAAAATTTAATTTTTGTATTTTACAGAAATAAAATTGAAGATATACACGAAGATTTATAAATGAAAAAAAATCAAAATTAAAATTTTTTATTTTAAATTTTAACTAATAATTATAAAAATTGATTTTTGTGTCATTAAAATTTTAATGAAGATAGACACACAAATTTAAAAATTTAAAAAAAACTCAAATCAAAATTTTCTAACTCCCTAATAAAATCTCAAATTTTCTATTTTAATTCTAAAATTTCCAAAATCGTAAAAATTTAACAATTACAACCCAAAATTTTGCGTCTCACAGAAATTACAGTTAAAATAGGCACTAAAATTCTTAACCTGTATTTAAATTTCCAATTTTTCTTCACAAAATTCTCTTATCCTCCAGAACAATTCCAAAAAAGTGAATACAGCTGAATTTCCCAACTTATGTGTCTTCCTTAAATCCAATTCAAATTCACAACCCAAAATTCCAAGCTAAAAACAGAAATATAAATACTCTAATCTTCTTTCAGCTCAAAAATTTTTAATTTATCCCAAAATTTGCTTCATAATTAAAAAATAAACTTTTGCGACCCAAAAATTATAAAATACCGACCCATCTTAAAAATTCCTTTAAAAGCATTCAAAAGTATCTTAGAAAAAAAAAAAAAAATTAAACCTTAAATAAAAATTTCCAATTTTTCCCAAAATTTTCTTCATAATTCAAAAATAAATTTTGTAAATTTTTTGTGTTTAAATTATAAAAATTTTAGGACCATGAACAAGGACGCAACTTTAAAATTCTTTTAAAGTTGTTTAGAAATATAAAAAAAATTTCTTTAATAAATATTTATAATTTTTTTCTACCTCAACAAAAAATTATAAATGAACAAAAAAAAAATTTAAGAATTTTTAATGTAATAGAACAAAAAAAAAATTCTCCAATAAATAAAAATAAAAATTTTCTATGAAAATTACATTTTTTGTAGAATTTAAATAGAATTTTTTTATTGAAAAAAATCAAAAGAAAAATTTTGACACATAAAAAATTTGAAAAATTCTTGCAATTTTTTAAAAACACCTTTTTAATTATAATTTTTTTTAATTCAAAAAATCAAAAATTTTTATAATAATAAAGTTAGCCAACATTTTTTATTTTCTGATTTTGCTTAACTTAATAATAATTAAAACTAAAATACATTTTTTTTTAAATTGCACTTACAGTTTTTCAAATTTTTTACAAATAAAATTAAAAAAATTTTTTTTTTTTAATAATTTTTTCAATAAAAAAAAAAAAATTCTAAAAATTTTTACATGTCGGCTAATTTTAGTATCATAAAATTTTTAATTTTTTTTCTACCTCCCAAAAAAATAGAATAAATTATGATATAAAAGTTAACAGTCCTAAAAATTTTTTAATTTTTATTTAACAAATAAATTTGTTGTGAAAAATTATTTTTAAATGAAAATTAATTTAGCAGATATTTGATAATTTTTAGAATTTTTGTTAACAAATAAATTATGACAAAAAAAATAAGAAAAAAAAAATTGACATCTAGAAATTAAAAAAAAAATAAAAAATGCAATTTTTTAAAAATAATTTTTTATAATTAATTTAATTGTTAAATTAAAAAGTGGTCAGGTGATAGCTAACTTTAATGTCATTATTTAAAAAAAAATTTAAAATTTTTACATGTCAATTTTTTTTCCATAATTTTTTTGTTAAAAAAATTCTAAAAATTCCTTAATGCCTGCTAAATAAATTTTAATAAGAAATTTTAAAATTTAAAACCAAAAAAAAAAAAAAATCTTAGAGTCCCATGGCCGTGAAGTGACGTAACAGTCACCATTCAACCATTCATCTCATACACACACAAGTAACACAAGTCGACACTAGCCAGTACAGTGATACATATAAAACTAGCGAGTATAACCTAGTATATTTCCGCTTGAGAGTCTTCGTTTCTTAAAAATAAAATATTTATAAATAATTACGCTTAATGTGCCTTGTAAAATTAAATACTCCAAAATCAAAGTACCATTAATTAATAAAATTAATAATAGTAACCAAAAAAAAACCTTTCAATAATAATAAGCTTAAACAATCACAGGTGAAAAAAAATAAATGGAGACAACAAATGAAACAAAAGCTAAACAATTAGTGAAAAATGACCCGGAAAAAATGGAGGCCAGCGAGAAGCAGGAGCCCGAGGCGGCCAAGGACGAGAAGGTCAAAAAAAAGTCCGAGTATGAGGGCAGTGTCGTTATCTGGCGCGGGGTCCTCGAGTGGACCGAGCCGATAAGAAAGACCCTGAATGGCAAGCCGGACCCCGAGAAGGAGCCTCAGAAGAGCAAGGAGATCATCTGCAAGCTCCTCGTCTGGGACCTGGATGACGGAATTAACGAGCTCAAGCGGAACCTCCCGGAGAAACTCACCATGACGCTGATGCGCAAGCAGTTCATCAGGAACACTGACAAGAGCTTCTTCAGCAACTCTACCAGGACGCTTTTTGACATGGAGGCCAGCGATAAGCTCAACTCGCTCACCAAGTTTATGAATAGCGGTTATGTAAGTTTTTTTTTGATGTCTGAAAATTTTATTAGAATTTTTTTTATTGAAAAAAAATAAAAAAATTTCATTGGGTAAATGCACCAATTATTGACCGATTAAGGTTTTCTTTTTCTGTACTAAGCTATAAAAAATCTATTAACTTACTAAAAACAATTTGTAATGGATTTTATTAAAGTTAAATACTTAATTAATAATAATTAATAACTATTTATAATAAAAATTAACAAAATTATATTAATTTTGTTATTTGAATCTTGAAATA